AACTGTAAATTTTCCTTTTTTTATATGTATATAAAAATAATATGTGTATATATATGTGTATATACATGTGTATATATATGTGTATATATATGTGTATATATATATATATATATATATATATATATATATATATATATATATATATATATATATATATATATATATATATTATATATATATATATATATATATATATATATATATATATATATATATATATATATATATATATATATATATATATATATATATATATATATATATATATATATATATGTATATATATACACACACGAGGCTTATTTAAATTTTTTTAATTTAACTTAGTTTCATATTTTCATACTTTTTTTTTTTTTGAAATTTTAGATTATAATAGCTTTGAAACAATGATAATGAAAGTTTTTTCATCGTTCTAAATTTATAGTAAGTTAAATATGCTTTTTTGTTATAAAATATATGTTATTATGTTGTTGAATTACATTAATATTTTTATAAATTACGTTATAGCTACAGTTATGGTCGTAAAAGATTAAGAAAAATCTTATGGGTGCAATTATTCCACTGACACCTGCGAAAATTACCAAAAGAACTGACCATCGCTGTTTATTGTATTTTTTTAAATGTTTTAGTTAAACAATCTAACACTTAATTATTTGTTATTTTTATTATTGTTTTATAAATAAGCGTCCTTATTGCTTAGCGACTAGTTAAGTTATATTATAAGGATTATATTTTCAAGAAGATTCTGTGTTTAAGTAAAAATTATTATTTTTACTTAAACTCGTATATTTCTTGAAAAACAAGCCTACTAATATATCTATGAAATCTTTAAAACTCAAATAATTAAATAAAACCCTAATAAACATGAATTTAACTAAAAAAACTATTAACTAAAACTAGAAAGTAATACTTAACCTAGAAAAAAAAACCTACTAATCCTGTTAAGTACCTACTCAGTTCCGAGTAAAAACCCTAGTAATACTACTAAGTTTCCTTCTAAAAACTTGCTAATCCTACTAAGTTTCCTACTAAAAACTTGTTAATCCTACTAAGTTTCCTACTAAAACCTGCTAATCCTACTAAGTTCCTAGTAAGTACTCGGCGGGAACTTACTAAGTTTTAGTAGGAAACTTATTAGGAACTTAACAGGATTAGCGGGTTTTTTTTTCTCGGGGAGTTCAGTAACCTTGTTTTATTTTTATTTAAAGTTGGTTGTATTATTTTAACAAGATATTCTGAAGAACCATAAGACGGAGTACCTATAGTGGAAACCACTGGTCTCATTGGATAGTTTTTATCTGATTTATAAGCTTTTATGACGCCATATAGTCGTGGAGGAATGCTATCAGAAGGGTACAGTTGAAAATAAGTTTTTTTATCAAATTTGTTTTCTTTCCTCAACTTACGTAAAAACTTCTGAAACTTTGTTGTGATGGTTTGTGTAGGGTCATAATTGATAATTACGGACTTTTTAATTCCATCATCTAATTTCTTAAAAGCATCTGATTCGTTAATTAATATAAATCCTGAACCTTTATCAAACGGGTAAAATCTTAGAGCGTCTTTATTCTTTTTTAGATTATTTAAGGCGAACCTTTGTTGCCTTGTGAGATTGTCTGGTAGTTTCCTTTTTAGAGAACTTGTAAAGATTTTACTAATATTTTGTCGTATATTCTCTGCGTCAGCATTTTTGTTTTGTTTTTCCAAATGCAAAGCAAACGACTCAATCGGGGTTAACAGTTCCATAAAAGGTACTTTTTTATATGAAGGTGCAAAATTTGGCCCCAAGTCCAACAGTCCAAATCCTGGTTTAATTATTTTTTTAATTTTTTCTTATGCAATTTAGTTTTTTATGGGTTTTTTGATAAAGATTTTCATATTTTTCTTTTAAAAGTGTTTTTTTAATATTGAAATGATGATTTTTTGATTTCTCTGTAACATTATCAACGATTTCGTAATGATAAGGCGTTAAAATGCTTTTTAATTCCAAAATAATAATAATAAATAAATAATAATAAATCCCTTACTTTTATATAGTAATAATAATAATAAATCCCTTACTTTTATAAAGTCGATAAAACTCTTTTTAAAAAAATCCTAGAAATTTCAAAATAGTTGTTTACGTTACGTCAGCTCATCTTTGTAATGTCTTCTATAACGGTTTTTTACATTTTTTTTTTTTTTTTTTTTTGTGAGATTTTTATTGTATTTAATTTTACGTCTGATGACGGTCTGAACTATTCAGACTGAAATATTACAACATTGATTTTGTTTTTGAAAAAAGAACTCACGTTCGTGATGGTATTACATACGTAGGCCCAATGTCAGTTTGCTAGCTGGGTAATTTTGAAATATATATATATATATATATATATATATATATATATATATATATATATATATATATATATATATATATATATATATATATATATATATATATATATATATATATATATATATATATATATATATTTCAAAATTACCCAGCTAGCAAACTGACATTGGGCCTACGTATGTAATACCATCACGAACGTGAGTTCTTTTTTCAAAAACAAAATCAATGTTGATCTAACGGAACTAAAAACATCTGGCAAACTTACATCGGTCCAATAAATGTATGTAAAATTTGATAAAAATTTTTAAAATGATAGTTGGAAGACGAGAGGAATTACATGTAGATGGATAAATAAAGAATTTCAGAATGTCAAAAACATCAAATTAAAAACTGAAGGATCACAAATTGACTGATATAATAAAGTTAATTATTAACTACTTCCAAGCTTTTACCAACATTATAAAGTTTATATGTTGGTAAACAAAAAAACTAAAAATAGCTAGCTTTATAATAAAGCTAGCTATTTTCAATTGTTTATTATAGTTATTTACTGTTATTTTACTATCATACCTCAATATAATACCTCTAATACCTCAAAAGAGTTTTAAACTTGTATATGATACAACAGCTTATGCATTACCAACAACAACAATTAATGCGACAGAGTGGGAAAAATGTCTTATATGTCAATAGCAAAATTATTAATCCTTTTAAATCAGAAAAACAGCCAAGACATAATAAGTACAAGATATTACTTAGTAGTCTAGAGAAGTTCAAAGAAATAGATTTGATCATACAAAGATAAATTTGTTTATAACACACCTTTTTTATCTTTTATCTTTGAGAGAGGATAAATGAGTTGAATTTACCAGATAAAGGCGACATTGCCGTTTCAAGTGTAATTTATATTCTGCTGTCATATTTCTCAAGTGTCGAACACTTTTATTTTGTTACTCTTCAACTAATTTCATTTAAATTGTTTTCAAAGCCAAATATTTTTACATTCAATCTTGAATGGAGAGTATTTATCTCGAAGTAATTTTTTGCTGAAAGTTCATATTTATCTTATACAGATAGTTTGTTAGTTGGTTTAACTTTCCGACTGCAATGCTAAGATTTGTTGCAACAGCTTTGCAACAATAATGTAGTATATCACAAAAAATGTTACGCAAATTTAGACAGCTACTAGTACCAGAGAGCATCTACCAGAGAAAGACATATATGTGACAAAAGAACTATGAATTCCAAGCCATAGTACAAGCACAAGTATCTGGCTATAATCTATTAACAAAATTTTTTATTGTGGTTTGTGTTTAAAAATTATTCGAAGTAGATAATAACACTAATTTATTCCTGTATTTCAACTCTCAGTATCAAATGTTTTGCAATTGAAAAGTTATGATAAAAGTGTCAAGCATGAGAACTAAACTAAAAGAAATAGCTCTAAAACGAAAGAAGGGATATGTTTACTAAGAGCAGCAACTATTGTGCAAAATAAAGTTTTTAAAATTGAAATTACTGATAATGTTTCATTAAAAAGAAAGACGAATCAAAAAAAAGTAAAATATACCCGTCATAAAGCAGGTAAAACTCCACCTTTTTAATTATATGTTGGTTTAAAAATACATTCCAAAACGCAAAAGAAAGGAATTGTAAACAAATTAGCAAAGTTCGAAGTTGGAATTGTAAACAAATTAGCAAAGTTCGAGATGCTATTATGGCATTATCTATGGAAGCTTTACAAGGATAACAACACAAAGTTTCAAGTAAAATCTCTGTTCCCATATGATACTCACAAAAAGAAATTATATGTAAAATCGATACCTACATTTAACTATTTAACAAGTATGTATAGGGACAATTACATGTATGTAACTACATTACATGTATGGTATAAAGATTTTACTCAAAGCTACTAAATGGGGCTGGAAAAAAAAAACACAATGAAATCTCTGTAGATGACTCTCCCTAGGGTATTTAAAATTGTATTTTATAGAGTATTTAAAGTTATAACTATAAAAATGGAAACAGCGATCTGGTCAATGTTTAGAATGAAAATGAAAAAAAATCTCATTTGCATTAACTTACTGCCAAATTTCGAAAAAAATTGTTTGCATTTTATTGAAATATATATATAAAAACAACTTTTTTTATGCTTTTATTGTATTTTAATTAGTAATGTGGTATAGTTGTTTATTTGAAGTTGTTTTTTTTTAATTATATTTTTTTACAGTCAAGTCAGCTAGTAGTTGCACCTAAAATTAAAAAATATTTTTAGAATGTTTTTTTGTTGTTTTTTTCGAATTCTTTTAATTCAAAGAGAACTTCATGAAAGTTGGTATCGTAATTTGAAATATTTTACTGAACATTTACTTTTATTCCCCCCACAAATAGGTAGTGGTTCAAATAAAAATACATACACCGACTTACTTATAGGGAGTGGCGCATTTCCTACGCCAATCCCTAATATGTTCTAAATGTAATCTAAACACGTTATTTATAGTTAAGACGAGCCAGTGGAATAAAAACGAAATACAACTATATTTGCATGTTTCCAAATTTATTTTGAAAACAAAAAATCCTATATAAGTTTTCCCACGTATTTCGAAAATGATAATGGCGAAGTTTTTTTTTTCAAGTATGCTTTCAAACCTGGTTAGTA